AATTTCATCTCATTCAATGCTACAGTTCCTCAGTGGGAGTTGGAGAAATGGTTGATAAATCAAACTCAATGACTACCATCTACCTCTTCCCAAGTACAGCTTTCTACAATTGAAAAAGAATGACAGTTTCTAAGCATCGTAATCAGCTAATTCTCCCCTTCTGAGAAATTACACTTTTTGAACTACAATGGCAATGGAATTGTCTAGATTGAACTCTCCATGGTACCTGAATAAGTTACTCTGTCCTAGAAGCTGTTCTTGTCTCTGTGGATGTTGTTGTCTTATCACATCCCTATTCTCTCTAGCAATCATACACTGAAACCTGCATACCTCCTCTGCATGTGAAACCCTTGAAATACACAGTTATCATCATTCTGGTACTGCCTTGGGTCTCTGGAGCATGGTTTTGGAGCTGTGCATCAACCAGTCAGGTCAGCATCAGTCAGTCAGGACTGTGGGAATATTCACACATGAAATGACAAATCGTGAGAAGTTCAGGAAGCAGGACGATGGCAGAAAAAGTAAAGTAGTTGAATAGCATATATAGCATGACAAGAATTTTATAAAAATAAAAAAAATATATATTTAGTTTTATGGAATCTGTAGAATTAATCTTCAAGTGATGAGATACCTCACATTTTATGATTAGTGTAGAATTCACTTGGGTTAAACTATGTATTCTGATTGCAAGTGCAGAAAGTTCTCACCCTTTGAGTTTAGTTTTTGTTTTATTTTTGTGTTGTTTTGTTTTTGGTTTAGTTTGGGTTTTTTGAAGGCACTCTTTTATACTTCAGTGTTGTCATTATGGATAATTTTACCTGGAAGCCTATATAGATGAGTTTTCTTTTCTTTGACAATGACAGAGAACTAGATTCAAAATAAAGATACTTTTCTGTGAAATGTTAAATTCTTAATTTAGAGTATGTAAGTTTTTATGTGGATAAAGTCCCAAAGTCAGCTGTGTCTGAGTGAAGCACTATCAAAGTCTCTGCTGAAGATTTGTCACTTTTTCTAGCTTTATGCTGATGATGAGGTCTGGGTGGGGAGGGGAGGTAGGAAATTCTGTTAAATTCTCTGATAAACATTAATGATGAAAAGTACTTCAATTTTATTATTATTTTTAAAGTGCTGTTAAAATGTGACATCCGAAGACCTTATCTGTCTTTACCAGTTTTAGGACACACAATGGTCTTTTTATTGAAATTATTCTTCCAATGTCTTAGAGTGTAAGTGCCTGTTAACACACTTGCTCAAATATTTCTTAAGTGATATGAATATATGTACGGAAATGTATTGACTACATGTATATTTCAGGCTTCACTGATTATACATGCTCCACAATGATAGGCTAGATGGAGTAATGCAGTGAATTAGCAGAAATCATGAGTATTGAGCCACAGGGACTGTTCTGGTTGTCTAGGTTTTTGAGTTGGCTTTTTAAAATACTTTTTATTAATACTAAGAAATAAAAGCACGTGTACTTAGTCAATCTAGCAGAAAACACCATAGTACATTTTTAACATCTGTCCCACTATAACATTTGAAAGGAAAAAAAGAATATTCCAATTTAGTAGATGTGCATTATTATTTCAGGCAGACTTGAGAGTTACTGTCATTATTAATTTATAGAATTTATATGTGTATTTTGATTTTTCATCAGTGACAGCTCCAATGCTTTTTGCCTGTTGGGGCTTTCTACTGAAGACTACTGGGTAGGTGCAGTGTACTTCATGTTCCCACATGTGCCATCTCTTCCTGTTTTGATGTGTTATGGTGCCAGGCATAGTGCTAATGTGTGCTCTCCATACTTAGTGCAGGAGGAAAATTAGCCTCAGAAAGATTTTACCAAGCGTGATAAAGTTCTGGTGGACACAGACCCCAAGGTTAATGCTGCCTCTGTTTGACATTGCAGATTTGCTGTTCAGAGTTAAGTAAGACAACTGACATTATGGATCAGTATGAGTTGTTTTCTTTCACGTTTCTCTGTTCAGGAACGTCAGCCAAACAGTATATATTTAATATATATTGCACCAAATTTGCAGAATAATTAATGGGATTGTACAGTAAGCAATCTGCAGAATAGGACCAGGGAACAGGACTTCTAAAACTGTTCATGAAGAAGCACAGTATCATATACATTCTGAGCAATATGGCAGAAAACATCTTATCATATATCTTGCCTTATTCTATAAGCAATTCCAGAGAGATTATCGTAATAATTTTCAGACAATTTTGAAAAACTAAAAAAAGCTCTTTTGGGCCAAATATTCTTGCCTACAGTTGCTACATGTTTTATTTGTTTTTGTGGATTTTGTTTAACCTAGTAGATCTCTCTCAAAATGCTTCTTACCATATATTTGATTATGAGAACAGATGATGCAGTTATGCAAAAATCTCCTATCATTCTCCTATCTATTAGGGGTTTTTTTGCTTTACTATAAACCTCAGACATATTATGGTTTCTATATTTAAATAAAATATTATTTTCTAATGCCTTGGAAGATAGGAGAGTTAATTTGGATACAGACCAAATTTTTTCTAGCAGTATTAAAAAATAATTAGATAAGCTAAAAACAAGATTGAGAATTTACTCTAAAAGCTGTTTAATTTTAAAGATCTATGTGCTTATTTTCATTACATTTTTTTTTAAACATCAGTTAGAACTCATACCTGTGCTTTGGACTGTATGGAATTAATTATAGTGAAATATATAGTGAATAATACAGTGAATGATACTATTTGAGATTAGTATTGAACTGATAAAATTTTTCTTTGTTATGAAATACAAAATAGCACTGCAAATTTCATACTTCTGTAAAAATACCTGTAGTGCTTTAGAGAGGATTATAAATAATCTAACTCTTTTTACAGGAATCCTGTTGACCATACTGCACAGAAGGTACAACTACTACATATTTGTTTTGCAGAGACTGAAGCATTACCATTTGGAATATATGTTTTTAATTGTTTTTATCTCTTTTTCATATATGTTTCTAATAACCTATTACTGGAAACAAACAATTGAGCTAGTTGAATAATCTTATGTAATTTGGAAAATCATGGTGAAGGAACTTCAGTGACTATGTCATTACTGCTGTTGGCCAATATAATTTCACAGAAAGGAAATTTGCATTGTGCAAGGAGTATGCTCCTCCTCCATTGTAGGCTTGTAATATACAATCAAGAAGGGCAAAGAGGGTATTTTTCTCAAAATACCTGTTCTCTACTACTGGTCTTTATTGTATAGAGCTACCTTAGTGCTTTAGGAGGGCAGCTCTCAATGAATCACTAAAACAGTATTTAGTACTGTACCTGTGATTCATAGTCACAGGTTGTTTCAGCTTATGTCTTTTCAGGCTTTTAAATGTGACTTCTTAGGGAAATATTTGTAATCAAGGTAAAATCAGAAATAAAGTTGCTGAAGTATATGTACATTTTAGGTAGGAATAATGTAGATTTACTATTGTATTACATACTTGATGTTTTTAAAAAGGCAGCAAATAGTCTATAGGTAATTAATACTGTTATTAACTATGTCATACAAAGTACTTGTTTTATTTATATATATATGTACACACATATATATATGAAATTACAAAACTTATTAATATTTTATTTTAAGAAAATTGCATTTTAATTATTCTAAAAATTCTCTCCAAAAACCATGACATTCAATACTATAGCTTGTTTACTAGTAATTTCTTAAATTTACTCTTTCCTTTTTTAAAGGTATAATGAAAATAGAATTTTCAGCATTGGAAATGACATAAGAAATAACTAAGTGATCCTGTTTATTACGTTTTACCAATCCAGAGGAGTTTAGGTTTGCTTTTGCATTATAATTCCAGAACTTAAGTTTGTCTACCTGTCCTGTAAGGTTTTCATAGGAAACAAAATTCAGTGTTCTTGATTTCTGATGTGGCATCAGAATACTTTTCTTTCCACAGGAATTATGAAATACAAAATAATTTATATGACTGCTTTATGTCAGATAGTTTAAGATCTAAATTGTATGTATTTTTCCTGTATTCAATGAAGAAACAATTGCACAGTTAAAAGCTCATTCACTTAAATATCGGCTACCACTTGGTGAGTATATAGAGTAAAAAGCAGTAAACTTGAGTGTATGTATTCATGGTATTGGACATTACAGTATCTTTCAAGATTAAATGTAAAACAATGAAATAGTTCCCTCCCTTTTCCACCTCTCTAAATAATGAAGGTAGATAAAGGTAGGTAAATATCAGTATTTTTTATCAGCTTTTTTTTTCCCCTCAAATGAAAAAAGTAAAACGAAGAAATAAAATGAGCTTCCCAATGTTACAAAACAAGTAAAGAGCAGAAGCAGATTAAAAATAACTCCTTTCTTCTCACGTATACTACTTCATGAAGGTTGAAATGTCAAACAGAGGATATTTTTAGTTGTTTTCTTTAGATTTCCAGAATTCCAGTTGCATTTATGGATTATGTTTTTTAACAACTGTGAGCTTCTGACAAGAAAATGTGAATAATGAAAATAGATCTGTTACTGGATTTGTGTTTTGATCATTGTTTGAGGTATTCTGTTTGTTTCTATGTAATTTCACAGTTTAATTTTTTAAAGACAAGAGAGATAATGCTAACTGTAAGCCAAGATACTATGATTTTATATGTATGCATTTTCATTAAATGCGGCATCATAACAAAATGTGTGAGATCATAAACAGGTTTTGAGTAGGCATTTCACTATTCCAGTCGTAAGTGGATACATTTTGTAGTTTACCTTGACTTTACGCATGTACTTTACTTTTCCTTTAAGCATGAACTTATTACCGTGATTATAGTATGTAAAAACATATTTTTCTATATTTTTTTAAGTTGCTTACCTGTCAGTAATAATTTCACAATAGATGAAGAAATGCTCCCAGTCATACTTATCAATGATGTTTAATATATAAAACATATATAAATATACATATATATATATAAAACCTTTCTTTTTCCTGAATTGATGCAAACAGAGCCCAGATGGCCGTATAGAAGTCAAAGGGCAGCATGGAAAATCGTCACTGCATATTAAAGATGTGAAGTTGTCAGATTCAGGGAGATATGACTGTGAAGCTGCAAGTAGAATTGGTGGTCACCAAAAGAGCATGTACCTTGATATTGAATGTAAGTTTTAATATTTTGTTTTCTCTTTTAAATTTGTTTTAAAATTTAAAAAAAAGTACATACTTAATGGAGGTTCAGTTTTTCCTGGTAATTCATGTTTAAACTTGCGTAGTTCAAGAAAGCATAAGCTTCTGTAATCAGTGATACTGAATTATGTGGAAGAATCATGCCTTTTCTGAAGTTGACAAAACCCTTATCGGTGATTTAAGCAGGACAGGATTTCATCTGAGATTATATTCCAGTCGTATTACTCACTGTCTTAAGACTAAGGTTAATAACTTCAAATATTCAGGCTAGTGGAGACTGCTGTGGCTGAAAAATATTCCATGGGATAAGGTAAGGACTGATTTGAGCAATAGCTCAGTCTTGAGCTTAACCTTCTTAGATTCAACAAAGAGGTCTGTTTTTTCCCTAGTTCTCATATTGACTATTCCCCAACAAGGCTCTAGCCGCTGTTATAACCCCTCCTGGAGTTTACAGGTTCAAGACATCCTGTTTTAGAGACCATCTTTACTCAAATCTACTTTATTCAAAGCTCTTGAATTTTATCCAGGAGAAAATGATTATTTTATTTTTTTCTTAGAGAAGTGTCTGATGCTTTAGAAGCCAATCGGAGGATATAAATTTGAAATATACAAAAATGCATTCAAACTGGTCTTCACTTTCATGAGACAAAGGTTTCAAAAAATGAAAAGGAAAAAATCCTTGTTTTATATTTCATCATTGTTCTATTTTGCTAGATATTTTCCAGATACATTTGTTCTACATTTGCAATATAGCTTGAATGAGCCTATTTGAGATTGAGACTCTGAACAGAAAGAGACTTTCCAGTGGGAAGACAGAATTTGAAATTGAATCTGTGGCACAGAAAGATAAGTAACAGTTGCAGACCACTGAGTGTTTTCCTGAGGAGTTCTAAAAGTGACTTCAGTGATTGTGTGTTCCATCTTTCTGGCAAGCAAGCAATGCATTATGACATAGGAAATAAATCTGAAGGGAAATGAGAAATGGTCAAGGTTGTAATTAGATGTTCAGAATGGAGAGATTTGCCAACCCAGAAGACCTAAGAAAGGAATACAGTATTTACTAACAGCATTAACATAGATACTTTTCAATAAATAGACGTATGAAGGGATTTGAAACTTTGCAAAGTATTATTATTCTTTTGGGAAAGTATTAATTTGCTATATTTGTTTCTTTAATGGGTACACTGGTAATTATTTCTTTTATATGTGTACAAAGGAAAAAAGGTACTAGATAAAAATGCAACTTCAGTGAAGTTCCTGTAAAATTTCTGTGAAATCCTGTTCTATACATAGTAGTATGAAATATATTGTTTGACTAAGGTTATGTCACCATTATGCTTTAAAATTAAATATGAATACCTTTTGTATTCAGAAGAGAGAGATAGGATGTACCACATTTTATGAAATATGGGCAATTGAAATTTAAGAATATTAGCAGCACAGAATTTATACTAAAGGGCATAACAAAATCTCTGGATTGATACAGTGCATTATTATCATCTAAGACACCTTTCAGGATGAAAGTTTTAGAATAGATCCTAATATTTTAAAATTAACATACTCTCATGGTACGCCAGGCTTCATTTTGAATGTGTGTGGGAACAATCAAATATAGTGTATAAGAAAATGAAATACCATGCTAGTTTAAGTCTGATTTTATGCCTTGGTAGACATGCTTTTTGATACAACATAAATCTTTCTACATTTCAGAAGTATCCTGAGAAAACACAATTTTTAAAAGAACATAGAAATATTATTCTATCATTAGAGATATCAGTCATCGTAATTTATTTTTTTTTTATGTTTAGTACAAGATTTTTATTTCATATAACATAGAACTATGACATTTCTAAAACTGGAATTTTCAGTTTTAAATATTTTAATTGTTAAACTAGATATATTTTCTGGTACATGTATTCTTTGAATAACAGGAGTGCCACTTTCTCTATATCTGTTGTGTCAGGTAATTTTATAATGCAAATCAAATATTTTTGAGGTGATGCAATACAGGCCTGTCTCCATTCATATTCTAATTAATGAGTCAGAGAAGATGGTTTTTTTGCTTGCCTTGAAATAACTTTGCACCAGTATATGAACCGCAGGTATAGCTTATTTGTCTTCCTCAGAAAAGAAAACACTTTTCTAATCACGGAGACTTCTGTTCTTTAAAATAATGTCCCCAGGAGGAAGTGTCTACTTTCCAGCCTCATATCCCATCAGTCTAGTCTCTGTCATAAACATCTGTAATGAAACAGTCTCTTCAAAGAATCTACCACACAGATACTACTGCCAACAGTCCTTTTCTCAACTGCAAAGATGTTCTTTTATGAAGCAAGTGTCATAGTTATTCATCATTCTAGCTATTTCACTTTGTAAGTTACAGGCTAGAGACTCAGCAAAAAGTGCGGGTTCAAAGACCAAACTACTCGTTCTTATTCTTGAAGGAAAACGAGAAAAGAGGGGAACTGCTATGAGATTCTGTGAAGTTGTTGAATAAATTATTTTACTCTCCTTCTATTATTTTCCAAATGATATTTTTTGTGATTGTAATTACAAACATTGTTATCAGAGTTTTATAATCTTTTTTTTTGCCAAAAATTCATTTACCAAATTGCAAAAAACTCTTCTAAATATTTTAATTTTCACTTCAATTATTTTCGTGTTTTTCTTACCAAAACCGGTTTTGATAAGAATTTTTTTCAGGTATGACTGGCTCTTTGCATAATTGTTAGTCAGCCATTTTAGCAGAATTTTTATTATTTTCAGTGACATTCTAGTATAAACCTCAGTAACTATTTTAAAATTAAGATATAATTAAATAAGCAAGACTTAATTATTTGTATTGTTCCATAGTTCCTAGATAGGACTAAGCAATGCATCTGTTCCATTGTTTAAGTTAATAACAAAACTACAGCAGTTTTCTTATACATTTTAATACATTTGACAGTTTGTGTAGACAGAAGGGGAGTATTCTCCCATCACATCCTTAAATGTCAGTGCAGTTAAACAGACGTAACAGAGGCACAGTGTCACTGTGTCATCATTTTACTTAAACTCACAGTAGGATTGCACAGAGTTTCCGTACTTTATCCTTGTTCTCTGTTGATGTTATGCTTTATGATAAGAGCAGTTCTTCAGGACAGGAAGAGATTATCAGGTTTGATAACAATTGGGCACGGTTAACACTGCCTTTTATCTGAAGTAAATGCTAGGTAGACATGAATTGTAGCGAACCCAGAGGCATTTATAAGGATTTCTTCCTACAATGTCATCTTTTTGTTTAGTTATGTTTAGTTTTCTTTACATTAAGTATGAAAAAGAAATCAAAATTACATGAAAAATAAATATACGAATATAAATATTATTTACTAATGGATTTCATTAACTGGTGAACTTGTGCGTACTGGATAATAATAATAATAATAGAAGTAAATGATTGAAAATTTCCTATGCGATGGCATGTATGATATATACTAGGTATTGGATATTAAGATATGTCTATAGTGATTATCTATATATTTATCATAGAGAGAGAAATAGTTAATTCTTTTTTAATAAAAACAGGTTAGAATTAGATAAAAAAAGATAATGCAGGAGATACTTTAAGATGGGGTTTTCAGAAGAGCCTGAGAAAGTTAAATATATAAATCCCAGTGAATTACAACTTGATTTTTACATAAAATACTCTCAGGTGCCTTTCAGAATGACAATTTTCCTATGCAGATGTCTACATATCTACATGGTATTTTTGTCTTTTTAGCTGAGAAATAATTACTTTGAAAAAATATATGCTAGAGTTATAAAGGAATATTAAAAAGCACAGTACAGACCTGACTAAAAGAAGAAAAATTATGATGAGAGAATACATTGTTTCTTGGGTTCCACAAACTATTCACCGCAATGATTAGCATTAGAGAACAAAAAAATCATAATTTTGACTTGCTCAATATGCTGGATCATCCTTCTTCATAGTATTACTCTTAGTTAGGATGCACTGATGACATTGCTGGAAGTTGGAAAGGATTTAAACAATCCAGTAATGATCCTTAGAAGTGTCTCTCTACTTGCTCTTTTAGTTTTTCCTTCATTGCGTTCAAAGTGTTATTAAGACAGTCAGAATTACCCACAGCACTTAATTGTGTACTCCTACACTATGTAAGGTGTTGGTCTCTCTGATTGCTTTGTGTCAACAAGTGCAAATTCCTTTGGAGAATGCTCTTGTTGCTGGAGAAAATGTATGTATGTATGTTCTTTGAAAAAGTCTCTGTTTTTTCCATATACTACCTGGGAAGCATTCTAACTTACTATCTTTTGTAGCTGCAATTACCAGTTTTCACATTACTCTATTTCAGTTAAAACTTCCCAGTTTCAATATTGATATTGCAGTTATCAGATATGCTAGATCATCCAAAAATGCCTACTTCATCACTATACACAAAGACTGGTGTTTTGGAATACAATCGGCTATCACAAGCGTCCTTGTATAGGATCAGCCACATGAGTAGTTAACAAACATGATTTCTTAGACAGCAATTTCTAAGAATTAAAAAATAATAACAATAAAGTGTCTTCCAAAAATGAGATGTTTTTCTTATTACTGGTTTTCATCCAAACCTGATTTTTTTAGTTATAGTCTCATTAGTTAAGTAGCAACATTCAGTGATGCCAAAAAAAAAATTGTGTAGTATGTTCAACATAGTTTTTACTTGTAAGGAAACCTATGCAGTATTTCTTATAACATATATAACATTATATTATAACATTATAATATAACATTATAACAAAGGATCTTTTTTTCCTTTTTTTCTTACCCTGCCACAATTTGAAATCAACTTCATTACTGTTACAATATTGAACTTTGTTTCCTGAGTAAATATGTCTTTTAGGTTTTCACTGTGTTATGTTAGCTGTAATGCACTGTTGTTAATGCAGATGCTTTGAGTTCATGCTATTTAATTTTATAACTTTGCAAAA